TTTGGGGGGTACCCCTCGGTCTCATTTCTTGCTGGGTATACGAGGTAGAGTAACGGTGTTTTTAGTATGGAGAATTCTAATTGTTAGATCTTGTGAATTTGATGAACTCAGAGTACCAGATTTTAGTCAAAGGTCACCCGCAGGCTCATTCGCATCTTAGCATGAACAGGAAAAAACTTTTTAGCTTGTTATAGTTGAGCTCTGATGACAAATGACATTTGGACGCTTCCATATTTATTTGAACAGATAAAAATCAGAGAAAGCGAGTTTTCCTGGGGGGCTGGAAACCGTATGAAATTATCACTTGACCCTTAGCCACCCAAACTAAACCCTATGCCACATATTTGTACCATACTCATGTTTACAAAAAAGTATGCCTGAATATTTTTTCCATTTTTTGATGGTGTAAACAAGATGACATATTATGGGAAAATAAATCTAGAGAATTTTTTCAAGCAATGTATCAAAGGGATTGATGTTAAATACAGCAGAAATTAATTTTCTGCATCTTTATTAAACTCTTCTTCAATGTGTGACACTTATTTGAAACCCCCTTTTGGTTAAATGCATTTAAATGTGTATGTTTTAAACGTATTACTAATTGCCTTTTTTCCTCGACAACTGAGGGAGTTGTTGCTCTGATGTAGCTAGATTTTCCGTTCAAATTGTGAACCCTAAATTAACCCTATAGAAACATTTCCGAGAAAGGGTTGCATGCTTTCTCATTCCTGTGTACCTACATATTACGAGGGCGCTGTTGAGCGGCTGCCATTTCGAATTTTTAGCTCTGTTCCTGATCGAATTTAACTACTTTTTCTTACTACTATCAACGCTGATTTTTAACCATCGTTCATTGTCTTGCTTTGATGTTGAACGTGTGATGATTCTTGTGGCTGTTGGAGTGAATTTTGTCTTTTTTGCACATTTTTGTTGCGACTTTTGTGTGAACTTGTTGACATCACCTTGACTTCCGACACATTTACACACGGTGGGTGCGGCTCAATTCGGTAGCAGTCTCATCAAACTGGCAAGGACAGGGCACTGTATTTTTCTTACCTTAATCTTCTGAGGAGATTGGAGTGACAATATTTTGGAACCTCACACGTAGTGTTTTGACTGCGAATCGCCGAAACGTGGAGGGAGTTGTTTTATCTGGCTCAGAATTTATCCCGAGGCATCTGCCTACTTCAAGTAGGCCTGCTCGTCATACAATTACTGGTGTTGCTGACCATAGCAAATTCCACTCAAGGCCAGGAAATTGCAATATCTGTTCATCATCATGGCAGCTTTCACCTGAAAACTACAACCTAGGCCTTTCACTATTTTGCGTACCACAAGTCTTCATTCACCACAGGTGTATATAGGTGGACTAAACATGGTTATTCATGTTTATTCATTCCTTACGGTAATGCCTCAGTGAATATAAAAATCTTCATTGACGGCGCCAAAAATCCCGGACCAGTGTTTCACAACACACAGCGATATTCACCGGTTACAGCATTGCTAGGCAGTCATCGGCTGTGACACAACTGAGGTCATCTCAGTATCCCCACCTACCTACAGAAATAGCACCATGGCAGCAGAATGGCAATCAAATTCATACTGGTTCTCTAACAGCCCGCCAGAGTTACACAAGAGCTGAATTACTTGCACTTTGAGGAACCTATGCTTTATCTACAATTGATAAAAGCTTCATGAACTCACTTGGGGGCATCGGTGTTGTCTTTCGCAGTGACCTGTATAATTAAGGTGAATAAAACCAACTTTGGGGAAATGGCATCTTTTGAGTTTATTGAATGGACAGTTGGCTTTAGAGGCAATCCAGTGAAGTTGATAACTGTGTACAGATGTCCTTATTCAACCATACATCCCATTCCTATTAATGCATTTTTGAGGAATTTGAAACTTACTTGGATGTTGTGTTAGACTGTAACTTGCCTGTACTCATTTGTGGATATTTTCCATGTCCATGTCAATGATGTAGAAAATCCAATGGTTATGAAGTTTTATGATATTTGTTTTTCGAGAAACCTGATCCAACACGTGCATGTTCCAACTCATGCATCTGGTCATACTCTTGATTTATTTATTACACATGACGACAGTAAACTCTGCCTCTCTCTACCTGTAGAGGGCTACTTTATATCAGATCATTGTTTTGTCACTACATTGTTACAAAACATGCCAGGCATATTGAAGTGAAAACACAATCGTATAGATCTTACCGGAAGATTGACAAGGCTGCACTTAGAAATGATATACGCTTTTCTCAGTTATGTGATAATGATTTGTTGGTGAGTGAAGATGTTGACGAGATGGTGAGCGTATATAATACTATTTTAAAGGAGTTATTGGATAGGCATGCTCCCTTAAAATCTAAGAAAATTACAATTCGGCCAAAGTTTCCAGAAAATTACAAGACAATTAAGGAGGCGTGCTAAAAGGCTCTGGCGAAGACACTTTACAACGTCTAGCAGAGATGTTTTCCAGCATTTCAGAAATAAGACAATAAATATGCTTTTTCAGCCCTGTAAGGATTATTACTTTAGTAAGATTAATGATTGCTATGGTGATCAAAAGAAACTATGTGGCATTAATAATTATCTGCTGAAGCCAAGTAGAAGTGATAAATATCCTACTTGTTCTTCGGAAAGTGACATGGCTAATGGCTTTAATCGCCATTTCACTGATAAAATCATTAACATCAAGTATGATTTGGAGAGTCAGGCTCCTGTTGTCGATATTTTATGTAAAATAAATGGGGCTGGTCAAGAACTAGGCTGTTTGGCACCCCTTAATGCGAATTTGGTCAAACGTTTTATTCTGAAAGCTCCTTTTTAACATTGTATTAGTGATCCCATTCCAACGTGGTTGTTAAAGGAATGTATAGATATTTTATTTCCTATAACATCTATGGTTAATTGTTCCTTTAGAAGTGGTGTATTTGCCACTGAATGGAAAATACAGTGATATTGTTCCCTTGATTAAGAAACGAGGGGCCGGTGCCGACTTTTCGAATTTCAGATCAATCAGTAATTTGTGTTTCGTTTCCAAATTAGTGGAACGTATAGCTGCAAATCAAATCACTGCTCGTATGCACAAGAACAATCTCTTCCCGACAAATCAACCAGCTTATAGGCAGTTTCACACTACAGAAGCCATGCTCAGTAGAATTACTTCTGTTTCAAAATATGGGTAACAAACAGGTAGCCATGATTGTTTTACTTGACCTTTAATAGAGCCGCATTTGATACGGTTTGTCCAAATTATGGAGAATGATTTTGGTTTTTGTAACTTTACTCACTTGGCTGTCATCATACCCCAGCAATCCTTACCAAAGGGTTTCAATTTCATGTGCTCCGTTGGAACGTATCAGTGTTGAATTTGGGGTTCCTCAAGGTTCATGTTTGGGCCCCATGCTTTTCAGGGCTTATTTAAGTTCTTTATTCAAAGTTGTGGTTTGATACCCAGTTGTTGCAATTTTTTCCCAAACTGTGTCATCAAACTCATCCATTGCAAAATATTGAAAAATGTGTTTCTTCGGTTCAAGCGTGGGTGTTGAAACACAAGTTGAAACTTAACGTTGGAAAATCAGAGGTCACTTTGTTTGGTTCTCAACAACAATTGCATAAAATCCACATTGACCATGTTAAAATTGTTGACAACCATATAAAAATTGTTGACTGTGTCTGTAGTCTGGGAGTCTGGCTGGATTCAAGATTGTCTTTTTTGATATGTACAGCGCTATTGAATATTGCCCACAGAAATGGCACTTAAGAAATGAAATAAATGTTTAATGTTAAATATCATTGAATCACCCAAGAAAAGAAATTTTATGTAAGTCAAAATCAAATAAATCAACATGCTTTGTGTACAAACCAATACAACATTTTCTTCCTGAGATCACATTACAGATTTGTTCATGAATATGGAAATTTTCGTTACCACAAAAACCAAAGAGGCAGGCAGCAATACAGCAATACAGTGAAGCAATACAGTGAAGCAAAATTTTAAAAGAGATGTAAAGGTGCATTTTGAAAGTTTTAAGTTTAAATAAAATACATTGCAGTTGCCCTTTAAAGTGTCAGGGTTAAGGAAGTTGCGATTGCTATAATCAGCCCGCTAAAATGTAAGGTAAATAGATTACTAGTAGCGTTTTCACCGAACGCCCCGCCGCTCTCGACACGTATTGTATTGTAGCTATTGTTATCATACATATGAACAGACACCTGACACCAGGGCTCATTTCAATGTAAATAATATTCCCCTTGTAATCAGCAGTCACGCTGTCAATGCTCAGGATATCACTTTTCACTTGCACACGAAAAGCTGCTTTTTACACATTTTCGGCATACGGCGTCAGTTGTCTCTTTGTCTTTTGCAAGGTAAGTTAAACTGGAGTCATGCATTTTGCCCTTAATGTTTATATTTCAGTGTGTACGTACAAAAAAGACACTTTTTCAGCCCTTAAAACACACCGAAATCATACCTAAGGAATAATGAATTGTAATTATTATTATTTACAATTTCTGGTAATGACACCAAGGATTTTTCAAAAGTGCCCGAGGCACTATAGCTCACAAGCCTGAAGAAACCTGTAGAGAGGAGACAGTGAGAAACATTTACAGTTTTAGAGGTGGGAGGAAAACCTCAGAAGAATATTCTCGGTGAAACCCACGGGATCAGGTAGGGTCAGAACGCCCAATCCACACGTGGACCGGGGCGGAATTCGAAGCCAGATGCAGCGGCATTAACGACTGTATAAAGACTGAAGAGCTCATCAAAGGACAGTTAGACACATACAAAAACAAAACCTACCGAATCAAAACTGGTTTCGTCAGATATATGTTTGCTTAGAAAGATTTCCAAGTATTTCATGTAATGGACCACTAACCCTACTCGAGTTCTGGGAACCCGAGACATGGTCGCCTCTAAGCATGTCAAAATCGCAATTTGCAATCAAGTTCAAATTTAGTATTTCACCACTGGAATATGGCAAATCTTTTTTACGTCTTATCTTTTGTTTATCTATAGTGTTTAACTTATTATACCAGTAACGCAGCTAACAAACTTGTAAAAATTGTGTACCAGCCATTGTGTTCAGTGGAATGGAATGCGGATATAACTCGGGAATTTTGAAATGATACTCCACTGTACAAACAATATGGTGCAGCCTCATCAAAAAGTGCAAACAGGACATTCAGTTGAAGTTCTGCTTTTGTGTTTATAGCAATGCATGGACTGGTTTCAAAAGCCTTGGTTATTAGTTTGTGAAAGCGTAGCCCTCTAAATACGTAAATACGGCAAAGACGGGGATTTAAAGATCTTTACAAACTTGTTAGGTTGAAGTTCAAGCCTTTATGTCGCGAAAAAAGGTTGACTTCAATTGGTAGAGCCTATACGAAGGAGGTAAAAACCAAATTAATAGCATTATTCCAGTGAACTGCAGTGGCGTAAAACTGTGTTTGAAAGGGGGTGGGGAAAGGTGAGGGGGGGGGGTGAAATGCCCAGTCATGGAAATTGGAAAAGCGGGCGGGGGGAACACCATATAGGGGGAGATGTTCTTGATAAAGATGTACTTCTGTAATCAAATTCATGAAGAATCTGATAAAGAGAAACAACGAAAAAGTGGAGATTCTTTGATTGGAATGGGCAAGTGCGCGAACCCAGACTTTAGCCACGTCCCTCCTTCCACTATTATTTTCCATATTGTACAAAACAACAAAAAGGCTTTACTGATACTTTGAGAGCCGCGAGATGAATTCCATCTTTGTCCAGCGTTGGCTGGCTATGACATTTGCAAGTATCATTCCTGTCTCAAACCGTGGAGTAACTCCTTGGCAGGGTGCACAACTATTTTTCATTCACAGACTCAATTCATGCTTTACACGAAGTTACACACAGACATGTATGCAGTCGATGCCATCAGTGTATGGCATGGCACATACACACACTGTCGTACGATCCAAATTGATTTATGTCTATACGATTGTTGCGGAAATACGCTAAATTTAAGTTAGCAAAGCCTAAGGCTATCGAGATGACTGTACGGGGCTGGGAACCTTTTACCCCACCAACTAGCAAGTATCACGAGTGACTATTTTGAGAAGTACAGTTGACTGTCTCCTCAAAGGAAGATGACGTTTACAACCTTGGAAGTACATGCTTCCTATTTCAGATCCCTCAGTCACCAAAAATATTCTTCCGTTTGGAAAAACACACATTTGGAATATCACCTCATTCATTTGGGAGGTATCATACTTAAGTTTTAAACGATTAATCTGTTTTGCAAAATTGAACATGAATTGTGATTGCTGAAGTTGTTTTACAGATTGTTTAATAGCAGACTAGAGGTGAAACTGAGGTTTAACCGAAAGTGAAGTGGCTAAATGCGAAGTTTAAAATACATACACAAAGAAAAAGGATAAGAAAAATAATAAATAATTATACGCAACCTTAAGAATCTACTTCTAAATTAAAACTTAAAAAAGATAAAAAAACTAAAATGGAAGGGATATGTAAAAATGAAACTAAAATGGAAGAAGTATACGCAAAAATAAAGAAGACACATTAAAAACATATAGTGCAATGTAAGGAGCGGTTCGCTTTAATTGAAAATCGCTAATCTCAACAGAAAATGTAGCCGCGTCAAATCTAAAAATTTTTCAACCGTATTGAACCTCTAAAACAACCTGCTTTATTTTTGAGAGCGTTTCTCAGCGTGTTTGACATTGTAATTTAATGTCACAAGTGCTTTTTCTGGGTGTATCAAATCAAGTTTGACCATCAGTTTTGAAGAATGTCCAAACTCTACATTCTTAAAAACTGTACATTCTTAGGGAAAAATCGACACTTTACGTCACAAGAGTGGTTTAATACATCAGAATGGTATGTTTATGGCTTTTAAAAATTGCTTTCCCCTTTTAATAATATTGCAAACATTTTAGTCTTTGGGAAATCCGGGAAAAAATTCACAATCTGCTCTAATGTTTTGCTTATCACAAAAAGCGTGTGGGGGAACGATTTAATAGCTCATATTCCGAACTCAGAAAGTGTGTGTGTTAATGTTGGGGAGGGGGGGATTGATATATACCTCCAATCCCCCCGCGATTTACGCCTGTTGTGAGCTGGGAAACAAATATAAGCAAGCAGGGCGGGTTGGCAGGGATCAATCAAGTGAACAAACAAACAAGTGAATAAACAACAAAAATGGTAAACTACAGCATCAGCAACAAGAGGAACAAATAGTTGAAAACAAAATCTCAAAATAATACAAACGAATACAAAGCACGATCACAAGATTTGTTGCGGGTGAACATCAAAAGGCGGTTCAATGACGCGTGGTGAATGCAAAAGCGAAGTGAATATGACGTCAAGAAGCATTTGTAGTGAAGTTCTCGAGTCAGAATGTGTCAACCCTTTACAAATGAAGCCACATGTGAAGGACAATGCTACCATGTGCAGAGATTGGTATCTCAATACATTAAATAGGTGAAATGCAAACAAATTAATGGCGTACACGTGAAAACAAAAACCTAGCATAACCTCATTAACTCAGTTTTGTTTATCTTTTAGGTTAGCCGAACCAGAGAAGGAGCAGCATGTCTAAAGCAATAGATCGTTGGACACGTGCAGTTTTCTTCCTGGTTGTGTTGATGGAGACTACTTTCAGCACCACTGATGCGTGTGAGTGAAATTTGTATCTGCTTACTGTATGTTCTGTAGTTTTATAGATGATAAATACTTGCAAATCAATCTGAAGCTGCCAGAGTAGTTTCCTTGCCAAGTAACTCTACATGAAACTTCTGAGAGACACCTCTGTTACAGCGGCGTTTAAGTTAGCCCAATTGGGAAAAATGATGATCTTGAATGGACCTGTCCAGTCCAGAAAGGCCTAGACTGTAGGGAGGCCGATGAATATTCAGTATCGCTTGGATTTTGCCTATTATTCGTATGGGGGCCAAGGATTTCAGAAACATCACTCTTTGTTGGTGTCAGATATCACCTCAAGATATACATCTTGAGTTTTACATATCAAATTTCTATACCTACAAAGTTGTCATTTCTGAATTAATTATCATTTAAATTAATACAGTTATTCATATTCAAAGGCCCAGAACAGTTATAGCGTCATTATTTTGTTTATAAAATTCTTACATAAGAATTAGCCATTGTCGCAAGTGACTTCTTGTTTCATCATGTTTGTAATTTTGAATCCAGTTTGGTTTTTCTTTTAGTCATTGTGCAATTTGTAGATTCATCATTGGTTGCAAGTTCAATGATGAATATTCAGTAGTAGGTAGAACTTAGTCGCTCATAGCATGTGAGTGTGCCTTAGAAGATAGGAGTGTTTATTGTAGTGTGCCATAGTGAGCAGTGCAGTTGATTACTACTGAGGCATTTGAGGGTGTCTTTGTTACAGTTATGCACCATGGTCTGGCAGCATAAGTGACTGGCAGAGAGTTGGGATTTTCCAAATTTTTTCCAAATTCTGAATTCTTTGGGTGTGACCGATTTAAGGCTGTATTTGGACACCACTGACAGCTTCGCCATATATCTCGATGAGAGAGAACCGAGTTGCATCTGGTCCACGTCAGAGTGTTTTAAAGAAATATTATCCTGTTAGCCTAAAGCCTTACCAGCCAAAAACGCCAGATTTTGTTGGTGTTCTGTATGCCCAGAATTTCCTCAAGATATTTTCTTTAGGTGCCAACTATAGCACAAGTTATGGGGGTTTTGAGCTACCGAAGGAGAACTCCAACACAACACAAAGGTGGACCGTCATTTTTTTAATGTGGAAGTCTGAGGGGCCTTTTCTGAAGCCGTCCAAGACGCTAGTTGCAGAACTGACAGGCTCAACGAGGAGGGAAAGGGCGACAACACATCATTTTATATGTATAAATACGATATGGATGTTTGTTAAGTTCTGCTGATTTTGATGTGATGTAGAATTTGGTCAGTGTCTTTTTACCAGTGAATTTTTGACAGCATGCCCATTAAATAATAGGAGAGAATATCAAAAATGTACAGAGCGTTTCTTTTACATTGGAAGATGTAAAAAGCAGATTTCTGAAAAAATTGAATGGGTTTAAGGTTGTACTGCATTTATATAAACGTGCCTTAAGTTACAAAAATCAAAGGAAATCTTGAAAATTCTTAGATGAAAAGTGTGTTTAGTCAAACTAGATTTCATGTGTGGAGACAAAGTTTGGGATTTTAGGTGTTAGTAAAGGAATCTGAGATTTAATAATGGAAACTGAGAATTCGAAAGAAAAACCTGAGAATTTAAAAGAAGAGGTTGGAAGAGAATTTTTAATGTTGACTGAACGGAATTTAATGAAAATGTTAAGACTTTAGAGATTAATAGAGAACAAAAAAATTCAGATTTTGAGAAGTCGATATTACAAGGGAATGTTACGAATTGAAAAGAAAATCAAAAGAGGGGAACAAAAGAAAGGGATAAATCAAACAAGAGAGATCTGTAGTTTGGAAAGTTTAAAAGATTTCTCCAATTTAAAAGAACCGAACGAATACATGTATTAAATTGAAGTGTAAACTAAAAGATTTCAGTGAATTGAAAATTCTGAATCAGTTTCTGAGAAGTGTGGTAACAAAAAGCGTGGAAGGCAAGACGAGTAAGAATTCCTGAACCTTACTTGTGACATTGATTGATAGGCCATAGGTCATGAATACATTTTGATATGTAAAAATTGCAAATTTGGAGGGCGACTTTTAAATCATTCCGTAAACTTGCAGTTACTTTCAATACGGTACAGTTGCGCGGAGATTTTAACAATCAATCGTTGATTAGTTGTGAATAACTAGGTTTGGTGGAATATGTTTTCATAATTCAAGATTGTTTCAATTGTGTTTTTATTTGTCAGTGGTCCATAGTATATGGCGTGTTTACATGTAACCCCTTCTAAATTGCCCGTAGAGAACGTCTTAAGAGGTTGGGCTGACAGCCATGGATTTTAAACGATGATAATAAAAAAAATAAAAAAATTAAAAAAGTGGTCCTCGAACATAGTTTTGTAAGAGTTTGAAACAACATCTCATTCGGACACTTTTCGTAACACGTCACACACGAAGCTCAACAGCGTTTGTCAAATCGTTCATATATCAAGGTTAACCTTGTAATTTTTTCCCTGATAGCTGATGTACGTCTCGTCGATGGCAATACTGGTTATGAGGGTCGAATAGAGATTTTTCTGAATAGAGCATGGGGCACCGTGTGTGATGACTCATGGGGGCTACAGGATGCTCAGGTCGCATGCAGACAGCTCGGGTTCCCTGGTGCCGTTACGGCTACCTCCCAAGCGTCTTATGGTCGTGGGAGTGGGCCTATTCTTCTCGATGACTTACTATGCAACGGTAACGAAGCAAATCTTGAAGACTGTCCACACAGAGGAATCGGCGTCCATAACTGTGGTCATAATGAAGATGCAGGTGTTGTATGCAGTCCGAGAGGTACGTTTTAATATGAAAATAAGCAGCTTGTCAGTCCTTACATAACGGGTGCAAATAATGATACTGTTTGTATAGTAGGCATTGGGGGGTGTCAGCTAGTTGGCATGCTTGTCGATTTTTAAAATACATATACATGTAATGGCAAATGAAAGGGTTCTCTCTGTTTAGGCTCAAAGCAATTACTGCCAGGGCTGCTTCACCACTGATTCCAAGAATATGCCCCAGTATAGAATTTTTTTGGTGTGACCCGGCAAAGGCAGATCTAGGAATTTGTGCTGGGGAATTCGAAATACATTTTTATTCAAGTTATTAAATATCATTTATTATTATTGCTGCTTGACATAGCCCCCAACAACAATAAAATTACACCCCGCCTCCACTGAAATCGCTATTGGCTCTTTATAAGGTCTCCGCCATTTAGTATACTCGAGATTATGCCTAAAAAGCCTGTTAATTGGATAATTGAGTGGGAAACACGATTTTGTGGACACGCCTATAATGTAGTGATTAAGGGAGCCTCATTATTTCCAAGGCTAAACAAATCCTTCTTTACATTGGAATACAAGCTTTTTATGGTATTGTTATCCCCCATCCCTTTATAAAGAAGGCAAATTCCCATGCATCACAGAAGTTAAGCTCTAGGAGATAATACCAAAATGAGTTGTAACAAGTAGTTTTTGTGACATTACTTGATCTTGCATTACAGAAATAATCAATTGCTTCTCAGTTAAATATACACTAATTATCCCTTTTGAACTTTCAGTGTCATTTTAGTTATGAAGCCTGAATATTGATTGATGTTCTTATAGCGCAACGTCCCGCTTAATTGAGAAACTATAGAAACACGTAACCACCCAACACTTCAAATAAACCAGATAATTATATTTTCTTCAATAAAACCTGTACTTTTCCGCGTTGTTTAAATTACCTTTTCAGTTCGTTTGGTTGACCGCCCGAGTTCAAGCGAAGGTCGCGTGGAAGTGTTCTCTGGAGGTGCCTGGGGGACCGTTTGCGATGATTTGTGGGATCTAAATGATGCCACTGTCGTCTGCCGAGAACTGGGCTTTTCGGGTGCACTGGCGTCCCTTTCACAGGCTACTTTCGGCCAGGGTATAGGATTGCAGATACTGCTGGATAATGTCGGGTGCAGCGGACATGAACTGACGCTGTTTGATTGTCCACATAATGGTCTGGGGATTCACAACTGTAACCATTTTGAAGATGCAGGAATCAGATGTGGTAGGCTGACGCACTAAATTTCTTTCGAGAATTATTCCAACTGTCCTTCATTCTAACTGCAAATTCCCTGCCAACTTGAATGAAGCCACTGGCTGTCCCCTTACTTCACCAGTAAAAGCTGTCCAATCGCGTGTGTGTGCATACATCAAGGTCTCAGAGCGAGGGGGGAGGGCTCCACCCCAACGACTCCCCCTCCCGATCAGCTCTTGCATGAATATAAACAAAAATTTCTAAACTAAAAGCCATCGAGACCAACATTGTTTACCCTTATTTTTCTGCCAAGGGAGTCTTACTTGACAAGCTGCTTGGCAATTGCAGGATGTTTATTTTATTTGTGTATTCTAATTTTTCCTGTTTACTCGGGTTATTTTTTAAATGTAAAATTTTATTTAGGTTCTCATTCTCTTAAAAATACCGGTATATGCTAACTAACTTCCTGAAAGAAAATATTACTTTTCACATGTATTTTTCCATAACCACACCAACCACACTATAATGAAATTGCTCCCTACTTATACAGTTCCAAAACCTCGCTTAATGGGTGGTAATTCATTAAATGAAGGACGGCTCGAGATCTTCCTGAACAGTCAATGGGGCACTGTTTGCGACGATTCCTGGGGTATAGAGGATGCCAGAGTGGCTTGCCGACAGCTTGGCTTCCCCGGTGCCATCGAGGCTACCCATGGAGGATCATTTGGAAGTGGAAGTGGGCCGATTCACCTCAACAAGGTTATGTGCCTTGGTTCTGAAACCAACCTGCAGAGCTGTTCTCATGCCAGAATTGGGAGTCACATGAACTGTAACCATTCTAGAGATGCAGGCGTTGAGTGTTCTCCAGCAGGTAATCTGTCATGCATTTTCCCCATCATTATGGCAACTAGCGCAAGCTCAATATGTAGTGCACTCTCACCTTGGTCAAAGACCACTTCGTAGTCACTAGCAGTCATTTTATTGTCTTCTTTAAAGCTAAATAATTGATATGTCAGTTACAGCCATCTTAACCGAGGACCTGCGTGTGACGTCACGTCAGAGGGCATTTTTCTTCCTCTAGGGGTGCGTTCGATTAGCTTCCCTGAATACACCAGTGTCACACGCAAGGGAAGCCTCGAAATGAGGGTAATCGAACGCTGCAGTGTATTTGCCAAGGCATTCTGGGACAGTAAAAGGTCAAGTCCCTGCCATGTTCCATGATGTCCATGCTCGAACAGTCCATCCGTAACGTCATAATTAACACTCGGGCAACCTCCAGAGACCCGCTAGCCAGCTGGAGTAGTGGTTGCTGAGACCAGGGCAGGCACGAAGATCACGTGATGGCTAAACGAACGCTCTCGTGTAAGTTTGACTTACACGTGTAAGCTAATTGAACGCACCCTAGAATAAGCTCGAGTAAACCTTTAGTGCATTCATTGTCATTAAATATAAATAACAAAACATGTCCTCTAGGAGGGCGCTCCAGGCAGGCCCTCTATAAAAGTACTCATTAGTGTTTTCGAAACTTAAGGTCAAAGGTCAGCCTGTGGTCAGCAGCAGTCATTTCGGCAACAAGCAGCTGTCGTCTGATGAAAGCTGAGCTGGTATGGTCGATCGAGCCTTTACGAATGTTAACAGTATTGGGGGAAGGCAGCTAGTGGTTATGGCTACTTTCTGTAAAATGGACCAAACGACTCTGTTTCCCCATTATTTCCAACACTTTAAGCCAAACTTTGTCAGTTTTGGGCCTCGCACACATTTTTTGTGCATGGACTGTTTGTAGATTGGGGATACCGTGCACGATATGGAGCCGATGGGTACCCCCCGCCACATGTCCAGTCCCTATACACACTCTAGACTATTGTCACCTAACACATCCCCCCCTAAAAGTCAGTACAGAATTCCTGAGATTCCGATCAAACAATGACCAACACAAAGGCGGGGGGGGTCTCTCGGCCCATATCTTGCATCATATGAGATTAGGGGCTAAGGTCACGTAGTGGTCAGTATCGTCATTTTAGAAAAAAACACGAGAATTACATCGTTTTCACATGGTCAGTTGCAGCGCACGAGATATACATGACAATGAAGCTTTGTCTCGCCTTTCGTCCTCATGAATAATTTGTATGATGGCTGGCATCTTATGGGACCTTGTAGGTACAACAGTACCGTAAAAAGCCACTAGACGTACATGTATAAGACCACAATTTGCACAAATTTTCTGTGAGCATCTGCGAAGCAAAAGTTTCCTTGGAGATGTACAAGAGGTAAAAAGAGATAAAAGAGATAAAAAGCGACTAATTATGTGAAAAGATCCATGAACATCAGATCCCTCTTGGTACATTGGCGTATGCCTTTAGATGGGTTATTTAAAAATATTTCAAGAACATCAGTTCGATTGAAAGAACTATATAGAGAGAGTTGTAAATAACCAAACAAAACAAGTAAAGTTCACGGAACTTTCCTGATGATTTCTAATGAGGATGTTACTGCAAAATGTATGCGACTGAATAAAGTTAGGGTTATGCGTGCACATTTTGAACCAATTTTCTGTTACCGAAATCGAATTCTCGTTACCAACAAATTGTACCCATGGTCTGAATACAATTGAGCAACATGGAGGTTGTAATCAAGTTACAAAACTCAGGCATGCCAAAAGCACACTAAATTGATCCACCTCGATCGAGCTTAAGCACGCCCTTATCGGTTGAAAAGAGTTCATACGAGCATCCATGTGATGCGTGCCTTACCCCAGAGTTAAAATTAAATACGTTTGTATTGATATACATCCGTAATATTTTTAGGCCAAAATGTCTTTAGAAAGTGTCGTTCAAAATTAAAAACCTTTGCAAAACACACCTAAGATAACGCTGCACAGGCTCAATAGACTGAAGTCACATAGGCTGACATTAAATGTATAATATTCTATCTGCTGTAGTTCGTTTAGTTGACGGGACAAGCTCAAGCGAGGGCCGTGTGGAAGTGTTCTGGCACAGTACTTGGGGAACGATCTGCGATGATGGCTGGGATCTTGGAGACGCTACGGTCATCTGCCGGCAACTTGGCTTCTCCTCCGCTGTACAAGCTCTGACCTGGTCTTCTCCCGGTGATGGATTAATATTACTTGATGACGTACATTGCAGTGGGGACGAAGATACCGTGCTTGACTGCGTGAACAGCGGACCCGGGATTCACGATTGCGTCCACAATGAGGATGCTGGTGTTCGATGCGGTAAGAAGTACTGTGATTTCTACTTGTTCTTTGCAATAAAATTTGGAGACAACTGCGGCTGTTCTTGGAAGTTTGCCTGTTTCAAATGATTGTGTTCTGTAATAGCTTATGACAACCTTCTGATACCTACGAAAACATCTCAAATAAACCATATGGTTACTGTGCAGATGTACGAAAAATTATTTAGTAAAGATAATAATTATTTACTGTGAATCAGAAAAGTTGCATTTTTTAATCCTCAGAACCCTGTAGCAGTCGACCGTGCATAAACGGAGGGACATGCAGCAGCATTGGAGGCACCTTCACTTGCCACTGTCCAGACCACTTCCGTGGAACCACATGTGAAATCGGTGTGTGCAATTTATTTCAGTGTCTGATTTGAAATTTGAAATCATACTGTAGATCATAACATGGAATCATTGATAACGATACTGCATGCTATCAAGACACTGACTTTACCAATGAATCAGTAAAGATATTTTATTTGATAATTATGTCGAGACGAAATCAAAGATTTAATCAGAAGGAACCAACGACTATTTCAAAGATGGATGTGCGCCGGGGAGATGTAAATTAATTTTGGATTTTGCCCTGCCCGCGTGTATTTTAACACTGCATACTCAGTGTATGCCTCTGAAGGCTTGTTAAAAAACAACGATTTTTTAACTACTGTGAAGATATTTGTAGCTGAAGTGAAAAGAGACACAATCAGCCTAGTAAATAGCCATTCCTCATACACCCAGTTTTACATGAATGCTTCTATAAGAGCACATTCATATCACCGAAGATAGCTAGTTAACAATTTCAAAGTATTAAGGAGTCTTACCGTTTGAAAAATAATAAGTGTGCATTATTCATGTTCAAGCACTACATTCCATCAGCTCAGCAAACTCTTTAGTCGGTCGTTTCTGTCTTTACTTGGTCACCAGTTTGCAATTGAAACATTGAACTGATCCAGTTTCCGTCAAAGGGAATGAATCTATAAAATGAGAGACACATATGAGATAATGTAGGCCTACAAATACATGCAATTTCAAAACTTAGCCTGTAAGAAAGAAATCGTTACAAGGAAAGCGCCATTTATCTTTCTGCCTGCCATGCACACATTACGTACCCCTTTTCGTCGTAGAGCAGATTAATTAATCGATTGTGTTGGGGAAACAATAACTATAATTCAAGTTTGGCATAATCTTAAGGCAACATGATCTGTTCAGGAAAAGAAACATATTCTTCAATGTCGAGTAAACTTTGATAAATACATGTGTTTCTTGATTTTTTTTTTGGTTCCGAGTAAAAATGTCCATATTTGTATCTGAAGAACGGAAAAAACCGTTCTTGAACAATCATTCCTGAAATCTAAACATTAATCACAAGATCTGGTTTTGTTGTACATTCAGTAATAGATTTTCCCTTTTGTTAATTTTTGTCAAGGCCCAGTGCTTCGGCTTGTCGGTGGTGGTGCGCGTAACAAAGGTCGACTGGAAATCTTTCTCAACGGCGAATGGGGCACAGTTTGTGATGACTCGTGGGGACTAGAGGAAGCTACCGTGGCGTGCCGTCAGATGGGTTTCCCTAACACAGCGAGCGCTCTTGTGTCGTACGGCGGTGGAGTTGGACAAATTCATCTGGACAATGTCGTTTGCTCTGGTGTCGAAACAAATTTGATAAGCTGCCAACACGACACTGTAGAAATACATAACTGCAATCACATCAAAGATGTCGGCGTGGAATGTGCTCCATCTGGTAATACGTTATAGAAAGTTTAAGAGACAGTTTAAGAGACTCGAATAATTTTTGATTTAAAGATTAACCTGTCACAATGTTACACGAACATTTGCTCAACTGTTCCATGTAATTTTTGTTATAGTTTTCTTGTAAATCCTGAAAATGTGATTTGTTTCCATCCTAAAGATTCCTCAGTCCCCCAAACGAAATTTATCACATCAAAATCCAGATTTATGCGTGTGTTGCTCGATAAACTTTTGGTCAAGCTATCTGATTCTCAAGGCTTGGTGTGGTCTCTTTGAGGTAAATCATTGCAGTAGTAGTGACAACGAAAGTTTACAAATAAAACATTTTACGGATTCTAATTCACCAAATTTTCCGATTTGTGAAGCTTTAGGATCCTTTCATAGAGATATATGTTATCAAGTAGGCACGGCTATATTTGTGGCCTCCACTGAAAGTGTACAAACCGTTGTTTAGTTCACTTTTTTTAATACATTGGTTTTAAGGGATGGGCTATTTTGATCTTAAACAGTCTGTGGTAATTTTTTCCTTATTTTGCTTTTTTTGCAGACATTTAATGAATTGAAATCTAGTGGTTGAAAAGTGATTTAAATTCATCAGTACAGTAAGAGTGGATGTTGTCAGTAGAGGAGATTGCAATTATTACTTAGAATAATATGCAAGTTTAACGCTTTTCCTCTAAGTTCGTTTAGTGGACGGTTTTACCGTCGGAGAAGGCCGCGTGGAGGTGTTTTCTGGTGGCGCTTGGGGAACTGTGTGCGACAGTGGCTGGGACCTGAACGACGCAACTGTCGTCTGCAGGGAGCTTGGGTTCCATGGAGCGTTGCAGGCGTTGACAAATGCTGCATTTGGGGTTGACTACGGACTGGATATTCTCCTTGGTCGTCTGAGTTGTTCCGGTGACGAGGAAACGGTACTGGATTGCGCACAGTTCGGAAGTCAATTCTGTTACCACACAGACGATGCTGGAGCGCGATGTGGTAGGCAGCTTTGTGCAAAAAGTTATAAACCGGCTGCTGCTATGATGTATCGTTTCACCGATTATCGTCCAAAACAGCGCCTCGTTTCATTAAAAAGCCTTAGCATTTAATTAAAGATTCAAATGGAGGATCGTGCATTTTTCTGCACGTTTTTGGAAGAGGTGTTGCATTGGTGTCGCCATAAACCCCATGACACAGTAGTTTCAAAGAGCTGTTATTATTGATTATCCAGAGAAATTTTGGAAGGCATCATCATAAAAAGTCTATGAATATTGCTTATTTTCAAATAGTTGGTGGATGTGTCGTCAGTTCTGACTTGTCCGACGGTCTTGTCATATTGTCGGAGCCGCTAGATGTATATCCACCGGGTTTCGTGCTTGAGTTTGACTGCCTTCCTGGATATCAGTTAAGCGGATCTGCAGTGCGAATTTGTCAGTCAAACTTCACGTGGTCCGGGCAACCCATCGAATGCTTGGAGGAAGGTGAGGAAGTCTTGACGGTTGTATCTGGGTGAAGTGTAACATGACAAATTCAATCCTCAGCTGTTAAAATGTACGTTCTTGTAATCGTTTTCCAACACGTTTTGTATAGTCGTTGGGTGCATGCTTACGCCAGATCCGAAAGGTGTTCTCATCGTTACTCCGTTGCAAGTGGCCTACTCCCCTGGTGTCACGGTGGCTTTCGACTGTCCCGACAGATATCGCCTGAACGGGTCAAGGATGCGGATTTGTAAGTCCGACCTGACTTGGTCTGGTGAGCAAACCGGATGTCTGCCTGCAGGTGAGAAGTTTTCTTTAGTCATTGGACTTTAAATCTGACGGACTAACATCCACATTATGAACTCTTATCACAGACCTCTATAACATTTTCGGACACTGCCAATGGCACCGGATTATGAAAAGGAAGTTTCTTTCAAAGAGATAAAAAATCTGTAGTTTTTCAAGAGAATTCATTCGACGAAATGTTACCATTGAAAAGTGGATTCATGTGATGGAATTTAGCTTAGATTTGTATTTCAAGAAAAACTAAACGTTGTAGTTCAGCTTTCCCTTCCACACATGCATATCCCTGTTTTTCATCATGGACATAACTTGTCATGTTTTCCAAACGAGGACGAATTCAAAATAAGTGGTACACTTTCGTTCATTAATTCTGTCGAAGGTTTGCTCATCTCGTTGCCAATATGACAAATATTAGCCGATGTTCCATCAAGCTTCAGGCTCACACTTTAAGTATATCCATTATCTATCTGCCCCTCTTGATTTCTGGTTTCATTCGCAAGACACTTACTGCACATACACTCTCCCCTTTCTCTCCCCTACTTCCCTTTCTCCTCCCCCCTAAATGATTTCAGGATGTGACATTACACCCGTACCATCGGATGAACTCGTGCTTGTATCAGGCCAGAAGACTGCATACCTTCCTGGTGACTGGCTGAAGTATGACTGCCTGGACGGATATCAACTCAGGGGATCCTCCGAAAGAGTTTGTCGGTCTGACTTCACGTGGTCTGGGCGATCTGCTGAATGTGTTCTTAAAGGTAATCCATCGCTATTCACCCGATCCGACCACCACCGCTACGTATAAGTGAGGCCTGTGCGGCAAAATAGCCTGCAAGAACCGTGCTGCTAATATATTTTTGTATAGTGCAATACAGTAGGCAAACTTATAAGTGAGGCTCGTCAGCGTCAAGTAAGCAGAAGGCTGGAACAAGCCTCTCTTAAAAGTTTGCCTACTGTATTGCATCATACGATAATATATTAGCATCACAGTTAGAGCATGGCTATTTTGTTGCACAGGCCTCACTTATAAGTAGCGGTGGGTAATCGGATCGGGTGCGTTATTAATATCCCCAGCGTACTTCACTTGTCCTTAACACTTATATTAATTAAATTGAGAAATAACTGCTGCACAAATTAAAACGCCATCTATTTGCCTCTATTGACATGTTCATATTGCACAATATAATTGTTTCAATTCAAAGATTACGCCCGTCAAGATATTTGAAAACTAAGAAATGTTCATGGTTTAATCTGTAAAAAAAGAAGCACTGTATCCCATCGGCCACACGGGCTCTTTAGCCAATCGGTTCAGTCCTTTAAGCCACTCGTTTGCAAATCAAAACTTGAACTGATGTCAAAATTTCCCTCACCTCAGAAGTTGCGAAATAAATTTTAGATCAAAAACAAAAATTACAAAAAAACCCCGAACCCGTTGATAATAAAATCGTCAAAAGGAATGGACCATTCTTCTTCTCGACTGCCATAAAGATGGGGCAAAAGGTTTACATATATTCAACTGTTAGAATAAAAAACGGTTTTCCTCGAATTTCACAACTTCACTCATTCCTCATTCCAACTTTTCTTTTCAGGAGGACAGACAAGATCGGTCTCGACTTAATGTACATGGTGTATGAGTCAAATAAAAACACCCACAGACATATATGTGATCCCGTACTTCGTAATCAGGAATAAGTTGCTGTAATGGCCGAGTAGAGTGGGAATGTGGGTATAAATATTGACAAATTGATGTGGCTGTTTTGTATATTTTGGAAGTATATGAAAGATTACCATCGACACCATTTGAAAGGTTAAGAAATTCTCGTTCTAATCACGTACACATCTCAAAAATAAATGTCTGATAATGATGTATCACATGTATCATTCAAAGTTGGGCGTACAAAAAGCCCACAATTCTACATACTCCCAACCCTAATAATTGTGAGTGCCACTTTCTGTATTTTTGTCATATGTCAAAGTCGCAGTAGACCTCTTTCTGAAGTGTTTTTGAACGGCAATAAGGGATAGGTGTAAATTTTAAAAATTTCTTTTCAGAAATATCAATATTTTGAACACACTAAATGTCTCTGAGTATTTTCAATCGAAGTACACAATATAAACATTTTGTTGAGACACAATTTGTCTGACGTCGTAAAGAAACGTTAGGAAAATTATTTCAAACAACGAAAAATTGAGGAAATTTTTTTTTCTACTTGGTGTATGTTAACTTTTCCCCCAAACTACACATGCCCTAACCCTTGCTGACATTCAACTAAACTCAATTGTACTCAAACTAAACTCAATTGAATGTACATTGTAACTTCATAATTGTATTCTTTTCAGTGTAATGGCCGGGGCTTCCCCCCACTATTAAAACCGTTCAGCCGCCGTTGGATACGACTATGTGCCGAAGGCAGTGGGTGGACTTGACGATATTGGCATCAAAGTTGGTGGCATTTTACGTAGTCTTTCTATAAGAGTGTATGACACGTGGCAAGTTTTGGTCTCATTATTTTGTTTAGGTCAAGAAGCTTACTCTGCACCGATTGCTCCGATAGCGGCTGGAGCAGGAGGCCTCGTCGTCTTCATCGTCCTGCTACTTTTTGCATTCATTTTCCTCAAAATGTATGTCACTTTATTTTCCTTGCGTCGTTGTATAGGGCAAGATTTCAAAATTTCATGACACGTTTAAAATGTGTATAGGTTAAAGTGATTCTGCTGGTCATTAAGAATGACATACATACCGCTACCTACCAAACAGCATTAACGACAGCGTTTAAGTTTCTCAATTTATAAGGCCAAAAAAGTCTCTGGTGTCTGGTCAGGGGCTGACTTCAAAGGTCATGTTTGGAAAAAATGCAACTTTCAGCAATTATTCAATATAGTGACATACTTTCAAACTTCGCATTGATATATACTGTTACGTTCTCTTTCATTAAAAACAAACAGGAGAAAAGGCCGGCGCAGATCAGGTGGTGACAGGCCAACAGGAAACCTTACCATTGCTGCAATAAGTTCTGAAGGGTTG